TCGTTTAAATCGGATGAGATTTGACCGAGTTATGGAGTTGGTAATTTTTGACCCATGTCTATATACAAATCTTGGGGTAAGATTTGGACATGAATTTCGACTAAAAAATCGGTGTCGTGATTTGAATGCCAGATTAATCTAGAGGGAAAACCATGAAGAAAAATCCAAACTTGGTGAAGATCGGATGAGATTTGACCAAGATATGGGGGTTGTCATATTTGACCCATGTCTATATACGTCTCTTGGGGTAAGATTTGGACATGAATTTCGACAAAAAAATCGGTGTTCAGATTTGAATGCCAGATTAATCTAGAGGAAAAACCATGAAGAAAAATCCAAACTTCGTGAAGATCGGATGAGATTTGACCGAGTTATGGGGTTGGTAATTTTGACCCATGTCTATATACAAATCTTGAGGTAAGATTTGGACATGAATTTCGACTAAAAAATCGGTGTCGTGATTTGAATGCCAGATTAATCTAAATGGAAAACCATGAAGAAAAATCCAAACTTCGGGAAAATCGAATAAGATTTGACCGAGTTATGGGGGTGGTAATTTTTGACCCATGTCTAGATACGAATCTTGGGGTAAGATTTGGACATGAATTTCGACTAAAAAATTGAATTGATTTGAATGCCAGATTAATCTAGAGGGAAAACCATGAAGAAAAAGCCAAACTTCGTGGAAATCGGATGAGATTTGACCGAGTTATGGGGTTGGTAATTTTTGACCCATGTCTAGATACGAATCTTGGGGTAAGATTTGGACATGAATTTCGACTAAAAAATCGCTGTTCATATTTGAATGCCAGATTAATCTAGAGGGAAACCCATGAAGAAAAAGCCAAACTTCGTGAAAATCGGATAAGATTTGACCGAGTTATGGGGGTGGTAATTTTTGACCCATGTCTAGATACGAATCTTGGGGTAAGATTTGGACATGAATTTCGACTAAAAAATTGAATTGATTTGAATGCCAGATTAATCTAGAGGGAAAACCATGAAGAAAAAGCCAAACTTCGTGGAAATCGGATGAGATTTGACCGAGTTATGGGGTTGGTAATTTTGACCCATGTCTATATACAAATCTTGAGGTAAGATTTGGACATGAATTTCGACTAAAAAATCGGTGTCGTGATTTGAATGCCAGATTAATCTAAATGGAAAACCATGAAGAAAAATCCAAACTTCGGGAAAATCGAATAAGATTTGACCGAGTTATGGGGGTGGTAATTTTTGACCCATGTCTAGATACGAATCTTGGGGTAAGATTTGGACATGAATTTCGACTAAAAAATCGCTGTTCATATATGAATGCCAGATTAATCTATAGGGAAAACCATGAAGAACAAGTAAGAGGTTCTAGTCGGGAGTTCCCGACTAGGGGATACCCTGAACCCTTTTTATCCAACACCAAATAAATTAATAAAAAAAAAGTTCCCTTGGCAGGGCTCGAATTTGCAACTGACCGCATTACTTACTGTCGACTCTACTCATCGAATGTGTGTGTATACATGTATACAGAAATTCTTAAAGCTGCTGCCCCATTCAATTGCGCAGTTGCATATAACTTTGGTTTTTCTTAACCGATCTTTATGAAATTTTCTACAGTATTTGTGTATTCTGAAAAAATCAATTGAATTTAAATTGTGGTTTAAATTGGTTGGCAATAAAAGTTGGGTTATTAACTTGATTTATAGCTCTAGGGTAGTAGCGGGGAGGTGGCGATAGATATGAAATGAAAGATACTTGAAATATCTATAATATTCTAGAAGCAACATATCATGTTTGGTGGCTTTAGCTCTTATTATTTACCCAATTTTCTAAAAAAAACAGGATGTCGATATCGATTTTTATCGATTGCTTGGAAACGGAGTAAGTTATCGATTATCGGAAACAAACTCAATCTGCGCGGGAACTAGGAGCATCTACATCTAAAAAAAGGTTCTGAGATCCTTTGGCTCATACATACGGACGGACGGACGGACGGACAGACAGACGGACATTTGGATTTTGCACAAATACAATATACCCTTATACCCATTTTTAATGGGTTCAGGGTATAAAAACTTGTGGAAAAAACTCAAACAAAAGCTGTTAGCTGCTATCACTAGCCTTTAATTAAACTCTTAAGAGCTGCAGTAACGAAAAAATGTTTTTTATCTTTTCCAGTCTAGAAACTCTTTATAATTATCGCATGAGGGGTTTGCTGCTAAAAGCAAGCAATCAACTGTGTTGCGCCTTTCGAGTCTCGTAATGCTTATCAATATTGTTTGCAATCAAAATTTTCACTTCAATTTCAATTTCATGCTATCCAAGCGCAGTCCCGGAAGTGAGAAAAGGGGCCCCTTGCGGCAACGGCAACGGCAAAGGCAACGGCAACGGCAACAACAACAAGAATTAAGCAAATAAAAAACGTATTTAGCTGCAATTTGTGGCCATCAATCAAAATGGCAGCTCTTCACTCAAAAGAAAGACCCGTAGTTAAAAAAAAAAGGCGACCTCAGCTCCGTAACTTTTGCCACATGGTCACATTGGCACCACTCATACATATACCATACAAAAAATGCTACGTTTTTTTAACAACTTTACCTGATGAAGCGCTGCAGCACCAGCATAGAACATAGAAGTGCCTGCATCGGAGCGGTAGGAGGTGTCATTGCCGCTTTCATCAAAACCAATTAGGATTTTCTGCTTGAGTCAGCGGGTGCTGGCTGAAGTGTCTGCCCGTTGAGTGGAAAATTGCGCTGCCTTTTCTCACACACACACACACACACACACTTTTAGTTTTTTGTTGTTTTTATACTCTGTAGCCATTAAAAATGGGCAAAAAGAGCATAATACTCTTGGGCAAATTTATGTAACAGCAAACAGCTATATATATTCTTGATCAGAATCTTAAGCCGATCTAGCCAGGTCCGGCCTACTGTTTGAGTCTGATCTGTTCGAACTGACAAGCTACAAAGGCTAGAGACTGGAAATTTCTTATATAACATATATTCTCGTATATCATACGCAGAAAAAGCTTACCATTTCGTGTTTATTTTCACTACATTTTCATAATATTGATAAAAAAGCTTTACTAGAAAACTATAAGACTTAGATACAGCAAACTAAGCATTTAGGTTCACGTATTGCATACACAGACCAAGAATATTTCGCTTGTTTTGTACATAACTCTTATAAATTGGGTTATTGTTAAGTTTCGAAGGCAGAACCTCGCTTTTAGATACCTCACACATATGTTACATGGCATATTTAGACTCAGATAACTGCACAGCTTCAGGGTATCTGCTAGTCGTGTACTGCCGACTAAAACAGTCTTGCTTTATTTTCTTTATTTGCTGGTTTTGCGCTCTTTCTCTCTCTCTGCAGTCACATCAATTTGCCATCATGCAAACGTTGCTATTTTTTTTTCCATTTTGGCCCAAACTTCAACAACTTGCTAAATGATACGTGAAAATGACAGTTGACGAGATCGATGACGTTAGTTTTGCCAGCAGAAGCTCATCATGATGATGATGCTGCTGTTGCTGCTATTGATGCTACTGATGATGATGATGATGGTGATGATGATGATGTGGTTGTTGATGATGCTGCTGCGCTGCGACTGAGCAATGTACCTTGACAAATTGACACATTGCTGTGGGGATATTGAAATTGGCCCGACTGTGATTTATGTCCTGACCGGAACGGGCTGCTGCAACTTAAAGCAGTTTTTGTTTTCGACTTTTCTCACGCTGCCAAACTTTTAGTTACAGCTCAATCAGGCCGCTGTGTCTCATGCGTTTTCAATTAACTAGCGCAACTGATTCGATTAAAGCAATTGCCGAGCAAATAAATGCGCATTAAATTGCCGCGTGGCAAACCTTTTTTTCCTGTTACCCACAAAACAAACAAACGCTGCATGTTGCATGTTGCACGTTGCGGCCGTTTAGGCCCAGTTTATTTTTTTTCTTTGCATACGAGCCACGCGTGTCCACATTTAGTTACGGGCCCGAAACGTTGCGTAGCCGTCAGGCAGGCCATAAATTTACAACCCTAAAGCCAGGCTGCGTTGATTTAAGTACAAATGTGGCAAGGCGGCAACAAGCGGCATGAAATGCGCAAATTGTAGCTGGTTTAATTACCTGAACAACTGCAATTTCCAATTGCACATGGGCTGGTGGGAAATTAACAAAGCTGCAACTTAAAGCCCATTTGGAGAGTCTTTAAATAAGCAAAAAGTTAAAGAGAAATAAATAAGAAAGAAAAACAGCCTCATCAGAATTGCTGGCAGCGTCTGCACGGCCTTTGTCATTTACTGTATCTGTGTCCGTAACCGTATCTGTATCTCGTATATGTATCTGTATCTGAGTAGCTGAGTGCGCTGCGCAAACTTCAGCAATAAATTACAAAGTTGCCATTTTGTTTTTTATCTACTCGCTTTTCGCTTTTCTTTCTTTTATTTTTGCGCTTTGTGTACTTTTTGTTTGCAAAATAATTTTGATTTATTTTTTGTGGCCCTCGCTCCCCTCCTACCCTCTCTCGGTCGACTTGAATGCTGTGTACTGCTTGTGTTTCGGGGGTGGCCCGTCGAGTTTATTTATATAAAGCTCTCCATTAAAAAAGAAAGGCAACACCAACACCAGCAACAACAACAATAACAATAACAACCAGTATGGCAACAGTATTTATGTATATTTGTATTTATAATTACTGCACATGCGTATTACGCAGCGCCCTTTGCGGCACTGCTGCTTGGGGGGTAGCAGCTTTTGTGGGGGCTGCATTTGGGGGAGTTTTTCATACACACACACGCTCACACACACACACACGCCCACTTACACAGACGGATACATAAATTTTCAAGTTGGCGGCAATCTAATAAATTATGCGGCACGGCGACGCAATAAAAGAAAATGGCTGCCACTGCTACAAAGCATTTTGAAACTTTAACTAACTTGCCACAAACTGCTGCCACTTTTCTCATCTCAACCATTTTTGTTATGCTCTTGCAGGTGTGGTTCAAGAACCGGCGGGCCAAGTGGCGCAAGCGCGAGCGGAATGCCATGAATGCGGCTGTGGCCGCGGCGGACTTTAAGTCCGGCTTTGGCACACAGTTTATGCAGCCCTTCGCAGATGATTCGCTGTATTCATCATATCCGTATAACAACTGGACCAAGGTGCCATCGCCGCTGGGCACAAAGCCGTTCCCCTGGCCGGTCAATCCGCTCGGCTCGATGGTGACCAGCAATCATCACCAGAACTCGGTCAACTGCTTCAATACGGGCGCCAGCGGTGTTGCGGTCAGCATGAACAATTCGATGCTGCCGGGCTCAATGGGCTCCACGCTGACCAATACGAATGTGGGCGTGGGCGTTGGCGCTGCACCCTGTCCGTATACAACACCTGCGAATCCGTATATGTATCGTGCCGCCGCCGAGCCCTGCATGAGCAGCAGCATGTCCTCGAGCATTGCCACGTTGCGGCTGAAGGCGAAGCAGCATGCCACAGGCTTCAGCAGCCCCTATTCGGCGCCATCGCCAGTCTCGCGCTCCAATTCAGCCGGTCTGTCCGCCTGCCAGTATGGCGTGACCGATGTTGTCTGAGAAAACGCACTCGGTGCTCTGCTCAATCAGCATCAGCACCACTTGCAGCACTTCTCCGGCCAGCACAATGGCAATGCCATGCAGCAGCATTTGACCGGCAACGGCAGCCACAGCCACAGTCACAACAACAACAACATGTTGCACGGTCACCACCACAACAACAACAATAGCCTGCTGCTGGATCACACCGATTTGGGCTTGGGCGGCGGAAGTGGAGGCGGCACTGACGACGGCGGCACAGTGACCCACAACGATGACAACAACAAATCGCCGTTAGGCGCCAACGGACTAATGTCAGCTGCTGCTGCTGCTGCCGGTGGCACCTCCAGCGGCAATGACAATGGCGACGATGTCGACGAGGACGTCATCGATTGAACGATTGCCAAGTATACACATAAAACAAAAAACATAAATATATAAAAAATATTTAAATCGACGTACTTATAACATAAATAATTAACGATTTGTTATTTGTAAAACTGCGTAAATCAGCGGGCAAAAAAATACCAAAAACAAAAAAAAGTTTAGCATTAAGCGTATTTAATTAAATTTTAGATGAAAAATAACGAAAAAAAAGCAACTGCACATGAAATACAACTTTTTTGAAGAACAATAATTACATTTATAAAACAAAACAAAATCCGTAAAAATAAAACAACAAAAACAATTCTGAAAGGCCGAGCTTGTGTGCAGTTTTAATTAGTTGGTATTAAGCGACAGTCGAAAAGGCAGAAAAATTAATTACAAATTGATAAATGTGTTTTTCATATGTTTTGCATTTCTGCATTGAGATTAAATGCCAATTATGTTCATTAAAAAAAGAAGAAGCGCAAACCAACGTTTAATGTAGAATGTTAAGTGTTTTGTACATATTAAGCAAATATTTAGCTATAGGCAGCAAGCTGTATTTATAAGATTAGTTCGCTCTTAACTAAAGAACTAACTAGCTATATTGACTAAATAGCAAAAGAGTTAACGTTATCTGCAAAAACTTTTGCAAGTAAAACAAATAAGTCTTTGCCCACTGTGCGTCAGCTAAAAACCAATTAAAATAAATACAACTTTGCCCAAACTAAAACAAAAAAAAAAAAAAAAAAACAAAACAAAAACAACTTTGTTTGGCAGCACATATACCAAAAATATATATATATATATAAATATAATGGAAACGTATCAAGATCAAGTCAAAAATGTATTGTAAACAAAATATATCAAAAGCCGTAGCAGTTTTTAAGGAGTTGTCTAGTCGTATAAACAACCAGAGAGAAATCAACAAAAATAGATGAACAAAACGAAGGAAACTACTAAAACAAAAACCCAATATAAATATATACATAAATATATTTAATAATTGTACACATAAAATTACTAGTTATAGAAATTAAATCAAACCAAAAAAAAAAAAAAACAAAAAAAATCAAAAAGAACAATAAAAATAATGGAAAAAAAAGACGAACTAACACTTTTATTTGCCCAGCAAATACGACTTATAAATAATCCATAATCTATTTCCGCAGCTAACAAATGAGTTTTCGGAAATACAAAATTAAAAAAATTAAATTATAATTTATGCGCCGGAGCTGGTGGGTTAAAATTGTAATAGACGATCTGTACTTGGGCATGCGGGACCACGGAGACTGTCCTTGCGGTTGGCAAAGTGTTTAATTTAGCAGGAAGGTGGTGCACGGAATATACCATCCATCAATTTATTCATTACAATGAAATTATGTCGAATTTATATGCACCCCACCCGACCGCCGACCGGTAAATGACAAACGCAAGCCCCCCTCCAGCCCCTCCCACAACGACCGAAGCAAGCAGTTGGCCGGGGTGGGACAAAATCACCGCACAATAAAAATAATAATAAAAGGACATGCCGTGGCTGCTGTCGTTCTTCCTACTCTTGTTCTTCATCTCGTTCCTGTTCTTGTTGTTGTTGTTGTTGTAGCCGCTGCCCTATGCAAAATGCCCAAATGGCATTGTCAGCCATGGGGGGTGGCTGTCCGCCTTTGGCCCTGCGCTTGAGGGTGGGCATCAAATTTGAATTTCATATGCTGGCTGCCGCTTCACTTGCCGCTGATTGAAGGCAGGCTAATAAAGTGGCCGGCGGACAGGGGAGCTGTAGCGGAGACGCGGCTGAAGAAAGTAACCGTCCGACCCCCGCTGCGTTAAGCGTCGTTCAATGCAGATGAAGGGCAGACGTCCGGGTGCCCAGGAGCCGGGGGCAACCATTTGATTTATTTTATTTGCCATTCTGCCCGCTGTTAATGTTTTAATAAGATTGATTTTATTGCGACCGCTGCTCGCATCTATGCGTGGGTGTCGTCGCGCCAAAGTCAAAGGGTTAATAAGTTGCCTGCCTGCTGTTTAAGAACTTTATTAGTGCCCCGACCCCGACCCTGACCCTGACCCCCGACCCCCAACCCCCAGCACAGCCTCCCCCTTGGCCATGCAGCATGGGCAATTGCAATTGCCATGCACGAAATTAGCAATTAAATTGCTTGAATAAACAGCCAAACGGCGCTCGGGAAGAGCAGCTCGATGAGGATGAGCAGCTGGTGAAATGCTGAGGGTGTTTGCGATTCCAGCTCAGCTCTAAACTAAACTCTGCGAAAGTTAGAGCAACTATTTGCTTGGAGCTTGCAAGTGAAGCCTGGGCACGTTGTTATCAGAAGCGACGCACTCGGCAACATGAATGACTGACATTATTCTTTAGCAATGCGTAATTAACTTTTTGGCGTAATTAATGCCAAGTCTAATTATTGTTAATCACGCTCAGCCTGGCACACGCAGCCATATATATGAGCTGCAATTAAAATCAGCAACATGCCTCAACTCAAACACATTCATACATATTTACAGTGAATAATATTTGTGTGCGCGCGCCTTACACAAATAAACAAAGTACAATGACACTAGCTAAAAGTGGCGCACACGGTCTTTACGATATAGTTTAAAAGAGTTATATACGCAATGTTATAGAAATCTGTTTGTATCCATTACGATTCGCATAAAAATCTGTTTTAAAATGCATTTTGAGCTAGAGGTGTCTAATTCTAGATAGCCTTAGTCAAGATCCCATATTGAAAGATAATTGATTAAAAAATATTTGTACATTTTTTAAGTATGACAATAAGATACCATATTTATCTTTTAACAAAAATTAGATTTCGTGTTTAGTTTTCCGTCGCAAAAATATATTAGATTAATATATAAAATATTTATTTTGTATTTGTTTTTTTGTATTTATTTATTTCTTACGTTTAAATACGGTATTAATCTTTGAAAAAAAAAACTATTTCCTCATTCAGTTTTTTTGAAATTATGAGCTAAACAACAAGTTAAGCCCTTAGCTTTCCAATATACTGCAGGCTTTCATGTGCTTTTGAAGCTTATGATTAATTATGGCGATTTAAGCCAGTGTCATTGGATATTAGCCGACAAATATGCATGTGTATGTATGTAAGCATATGTTTGAAACCTGCGCCATCTTGAAAATATTCTTAAGACAACACACGCATAAGAGACAAAAGCAACGTTTCGCTGTCAGCCATTATTTGCCTGCCAACCTACCAATTCCGGTTTCCCCTTCCCCCCCCCCTCTCTCTCTCTCTCTCACACACACACTCAGCTCAGTGAGCAATCAGACAAGCAGGCAGATGGAGCTGTTTTAGCTTCAGGCTCGACTTGGCTTGGTTAGCATCATTCTCCATCATTTGGCTTGTCAGTGTGCGGCAGCTTCATCATTATTATTCCTGCTGTCTGTTATTGTTGTTGTTATTGTTGTTGCTGTCTGTTGTTGCATGTTGTACATAGAAACTCGTCATCGTCATCATGATAAGAAACATGGCTATTGTTGTTGTATTTTCCCTTTGGTACTTGTCTTTCTTAACTCATTGCGTTGGCAATAAATCTTTTGGCACTGCTATCTTGGCACGCACAGTTTTCAGGCCTGGTTGCGTCTAGGCCTGGTTAAATGTATGGCACCTGCTTAGCCGGGTCATTAGAAAGTTGCCGTCTAATGAGTGCCCATCAGCAGGTCGACCCAGCTGAAATTTCAATTTGCAACACTTTTTACGAGCCAATGCAGCAGTGGCAGGGCCAGCTTTACGACTCATTAAATGCAAATGAAATATGAGCCAAAAGCCAAAATAATTCGCAACTTATAAACATGGAGCCCAAAGTAAGCAAACCAACCGAATTCGAAATGTTGCCAGAAACAAGATATTATGAGCTGGGGACCGGTTCGGGCCTGGTCTCCAAGCACATGTATATAGAGTAAGTTGGCCTTTTATGGCACAAAAAGGGCGCACATAAAACACGACACCATTTTGCTGTGTTTATTGTGCTTGTTATTGTTGCTTTTGCTGTAGCTGTTGCCTATTCCGGCGGCGCTTTATTCATTTCAAATTTACTTTTGGCCATTTTATGTTGGCAAATTTTGACCTAAAAATCATAAAAATTGTAATCAAAATGCAGCAGCGCACACAATTTATGACCAGAGCAAGCAGCGAGGCAGCAATGTGAGCGAGACAGAGTGTGGAACAAACGAAAGAGGGAATGGGGGCTGAGAGGTGAGTTCTAATAACATCTAAGCGAGAGTCCGGCAGCAGCAGAGGCAGCTCGAAGCTCGAGGCTCAGCGCTTATGGCTTTTTAATGGTGCCGTGTGTCGGTTTTGTGGCAAATAAAATGGCGCACATTAAAAGCATGTTACGAGGAGGAGTCAGCCGCCCGAGCTGGAGCCACAGCTCCGGTAATACGAGCAGGCAATTGCATTGGCTGGCTGTGGGGCCACTTGGCATATTGAGGTCATGCATGGCAGCGCTGGGTAAATAAAAAATACATAAAAATATTTTACGAGACGTGGCAAATGCTAAGGCAGGACTAAGTCAAGGAAATGCAATAAAAATGGCTGGCTAAATAAAATTGACAATATTGTCATGTGCGACGACGATTTGAGCGAAACAACAAGAACAAAACAAAAACTCTAGGCACAAAATGAGTACATTTTAATTTACTTAAAAGGCATAAATAAAAATCATTTGTGTATGGCATTGCCATGTTTCGATGCCACACTCATCTAACTGAAACAACAGCCCCCGCCCCACATCACCCTCCACCCTCCACACGCCACCCATCAACCCACCGAGTGCTGCATGCTGAGTGTGGAGCCAATGATTATTCTGGGTTTTGTCATTTCAATTCGCATTATCCTTTGCACTTATTTTACTACTTTGTACGCTGCCCGCCCACCCCCTGTCCTATTCCAGTGCCATCCAATTTATACAGATCTAGCTGCGGGTGTGTGTGGGTGTGTGTGTGCTGGGGTGTGTTTGCGTAATGGCGGGTGTATAGTCGTCGTCGTCGTCGTCGCCGTCGTCGTTGTCGTTCTCGTTGCCGTCTGCCGAGTAACTCGCATTGTCATTGTGCAAATAAAATATGTCACGACTCGCCCACTCCAGAGCTGCGTGCCCGCTGCCC